GATGACTAGCTGCCTTCTCTCTAGTCTTACACTGCTAAATTAGGGACGGCTAGCGCAGATAGCCCTCGTGTAGCTTTGCGCGAAATTCAAAAACAAACAAACAAACAAATTGCAATATATTATGAATACAATTAAATGACTTGAAAGGTATTATATATTATTAATTTTTTTACGAGAAAACGAAACAAATATTATAAGCCTGATATTTCCTGGTGGACATTATTTTTGTTTTTTCGCTCTGGCATATTTTTTTCCACTTACTCTACTTGTTCAGTTCGCTGGTGTCTTTTCTGGAATTCATTGCGGGCTGAGTCGTTGTATGATTGATCATTCTCAACAGAACTGTCGTGTTAACGGAAGTGTTTTTTTTATCAGCAATGACATCACAATAATACAATGAAACTGGAGAAATTAATGTTATCTATCTATCTTGTATAATAGAAGTATTACACAATATTATATTTATTAAAAGAGGAAATGTTAAATTCAAAATTAAAAAAAATGTTTCAAACTATTTGAGGAATAATAAAAATGTATTTATTTAATTATAGTGCGTTTTCTGGGAACGTCAAGTAAAACAAATAGCATTTTATATATATTGTTTATTGCTCCAGAATAGAAAACATAATTCATACTTTTTTGATATTTTTACAATAGCTATAAGGAACATAACTTTTCCAAATAAAAAAATTAAATTATTTAGGAATATAAACAAGCTGACAATAAAGTTTACTTAGACTAATAACCTTCGATAATTAAACAGAAAAATGGGCAAACAGATGACAAAAACAAACAAGTAAACAGGTGAGCAAGTTTGCTAACGAGTAAGTTGTACATCACAGGGACTGATTTTTAATCATTTCTGTTAAAATCTAAAAGTTTTAGCGAAAAAGATTGAAGTCGTCGAGTTATAATGTCAGATGCGTGAGTTTCAACAAAACTTGTTTCAAAACACGATTTAGATAATTCGTGTGTCCTGTTCTCTCCTGTAGATGTCCATAGCCCTATTTCGCCAAGACTGATTCATTCTTTACAAACTGTCCAAGGGCAGAAAGGTGAAGTTTTATCTCTACCTTGCGTAGCACAGGGGAATCCCGCTCCTTACTATCAGTGGTATAGGCTACACGGAAGAGACAAGATCCCCCTGTTTCCCGGATACAGGTTTATTCAGCACTCGGAACTCCTCGTTCTAGAACATCTCTCACTGGAAGACAACGGTACTTACGTATGCGTGGCAAACAACAGTGTTGGAAAGGTTGAAGCTCAAACTATCGTCTTTGTTTCTGGTAAGTGTTCTGTTTGTCTTATCACAAAGTAATTGGATTTAATTCTATTATTTGAAGTGAAGATACAGATAAACTATTATATTACATATGGGGGTTTGTTTCATTAAACAAATACAAATAAAACTACTTTAGACTCAAGATAAGCGTTATTCAGATGAGAAAATATCACTTCTATATTAGTGTGTTTTACGAGTGAGTTAAGAATAGAAACAACTCTTCCAAGTCCTAATTCATCCACAGAGTTTTACCCAGAAGCTTTGCAAAAAATTGGTATTTAGTTAGTACCATTTCGTGCTTTCTTTAAAGATAGTACAGTTGCTCTTTCACCAATAAAATATAAATAAGATCTGAGCTAATCAAATGACACTTTCTACTCACCCATGATAGTTTACTGTTTACTTTTTACTAGAAATAAGTGTTTATTGTAGGTGCTGTTCATCCATAATTAATGCCATTGATGTTACTACTAAGAGTTAATCACTCCGTATAAGAACGATGTCGTAGGTCCATTGTTGCCCTTGAACACATCTTCTTCATCGTCATTCGTGCTCAGTCTGATGGATATGATTACACACTACTATTTGACATCGCAACCGTAACTGATGCAAGCTTCTTCGAATGACACAAATGACGACCATCGACCACAGAATGACAAAATTTCTACAGATACTCCATTGTACGAAGAAGTTGACTTCGAAGACCATGCTTAAGAATGTTAAAGTCACAAAAGTCTATTAAAACTGCATGTAAGGAGTTGACAGGTACTTAGTCAAAAATAATTATTACTGTGACCCCATTTTCTTCGACCAAATTTGTCATGAAATCAGTTGGTTTCGAGATGTGACTGGGAATTTATTTTATGAAGCTTCGTTAATTTCAAATTCTTGTTTATTATATTACTAACGGTACCAAAATATATGTCCATCGTCTTCATAATGTATTTTTTAGCTAAAGGGGGAGGGGGGCTCTTTTGCAACTTTAGCCTTCACTTTGTGAATGAGAGTGCTGTTCTAGACTTTGAATTGGATTTGTAGTTTTGGAGTTCGTTGTTATCTTAAAAGTTCTGTTCTGTGAGTCTGGCCGCTGTCATAATGAACAGTGAATGCTTCCTTTTGTCGAACTCCTTTGTATCTTATTCTCTACATCGTTTAGCAGTTTCGGTATACGAGTATCTTACCTTGGTAAGAACTGTGACATAGGTCTTCACCCATAAGACTTCCTGTGGCAGCATTAAAACGTCCAATGATTAAAAATTTGCCAGGAAACAAACATATATGGACTAAAAATGTTGCCCGTGGCACCACGATCAGTCATATTTGCTTTGATGCGGTATGTTTGGGGATATGCAAATCGTTTTTATACGGTATGATTAACCCTTTCTAGTATGTAGTTGATATTTCAAAACATACGAAACATTTCTCTTTTAATTTGATCTGATATTTAAAATCAAACTCGCATTTTTTGTATTAAAGTTACTACAACTTTACGTAACTCAAAGTTCATGATGAGTTTTAGAACGTTTCGTTGATGGTGTTTGTGTGGACTGCTTTATATTTTGAAAAATAGTTACTTTATTTGATTTCAGTTTACATTATATATTTAATGAAAAATCTCAAAGGTAGGCGCAGTCTTCAATTCTATTAATTAATGAGCTATAGGATAGTCTTAAAACAGTAACTTATGGTTACAAAAAAGGTATTTTGTCAAGCCAACCCTATTATAGAAATCAGATTATTGAATGCGTTATATTAAGATGATTTTGGATATGTAAATTAGCACGTCACATAACAGCCATAACCGATACAAAGTCTTAGTGGAACGGAATGTATCAAAATTGTAATTTGACGTTGTTTAGCGCTTTGTAGATAGTGTGATGCAAATAAAAGCTGATCGCTTTGGGAAGGATAAGTAACAACCCTTTCTGACGCAAAATAGTAAAATTCTCAGATCATAAACATTTGCTCAGATCAAAGATTTAGAATTTCCAGTTAATGTCAGTGGTAAATAAATTAATAGGGATCAACGTTGGATAAAAGGACTATCCAAAAAGAGACCTGCAATAAGTCATACTCTAGCTATGTTCAGCAAAGCTCAAAGACTTCTGATAGATAAGAATCCACGAATACAAAGGTCAGTGGCAAAAGCCGTCCATTGTCCCAGGCAACAGCACGCAACATAATCAAGAAGGCTCTCCGTAAGTAAATGAGACCAACAGAGTAAGAGTTCACCAAGATAAGGCTTCAAGTCAAACTTCCCGTTCAACTGTCGCATATCACAAACACCTGGAGAATGAAATAAATAGTCATGGTATTCTATACGTATTAAAATATACTGGTCAAGTCTCAAGACGCAGGACCTATGGATTTCTTTGCGATCAGACTGTCGAAACTGATGCTGAGAAATCGTCGTCCTAGTATACTAGATGGATTATGGAAAACTTGCAGGGAGAGGTAGTGTGATTTGGACATGACAGCCTTACGACGGGTCCTTTTGTAACGACATGGTGATGCTCCATAATCGTTTTAATGTAACATACTCAGCCATCTCACGTAGATTCGCAGCTCAGAAGTTACTTTCTGATTGAAACTTAGGATTGAGGAAAAAACATCAAAACAGTTTCAATATTTGTATAGCAGAGACGGTATCAGTACAAAGAATAAAATGCTACTACTTAAGAACCTATTTAATAGCAAGTGTCGTAACAAGCTCACGAAAAGAGAAGTTTCTCTATTGACTTATTATAAATTTATTCTTAACACAGAGTGAAAGAGATGTATGTTACAAAAGGAATTCAAATTAATTTTCAAAATATTTGCTTAAATATTCAGTTTCCATATTTCGTTTGAACTTTGATGAATTTCAGTGATGGTAAAATGAAACCTGAAATTATACACAAAAACGTATAAGACTCAAATAGAGAGCAGTACATCCTAATAGGTAATAGTTCCTAGTAAGCTGGTTTTATTTCACACATTTTACAGCATTACGTTTCCCAAGGGAGAATGGTGTAACATATGAACTTTATTCGATGAACCATCACGCGCCAGCTCTATAATATATATATTCTTCCAGCTTTTCATCTTTACGACCAATGTGAGCCATGCTGAGCAAATGCTTAATACATGGAAGCGGCCGAGAGGATAAAGCGCCTTTATAAAAGCTAAAATGTAAGACCATAAAAGCCAGAAGGACTGCGCTTCTTAGGCTACAAAATGGAGTTTCATGGACATTCAAAGACATCAACATTTAGGCAGAAGAAGTTTCATGAAAAGAAAGTATTACTGATCATATTCGTAAAATCTCATATCGAATCCATGCGTTATGATTATTTATGTGAAAGCTGTTTCACGTATGTTCAGAGCTATTAGATAAATAGGAGGATAGGCAGATTGATAAGTGAAAAGATGAACATATAGATAAATTTCTTTAAAAAGCGCAGCATTCAGTAGCGCGGGAACTAATGTTAGATTAGTAGTTCAAAAAATTAACGTTAACGTTCGAAAACGGATCACTCAAAACTCTATGTCTCCTCCTACAACATATAAATATATATGTATATAATTCATGTTTGTGAAGTAATGTTACACTTTTGATTAATAATGCCTTAATACAAATGTTAGATAACTTATTTTTACGTTGTACATTGTAATTTCAGATAGTTTGTTTGTTTGTAATTAAGCACAAAGCTACAAAATGGGCTATCTGTGCTCTGCCAACCACGGGTATCGAAACCCGGATTCTAGCGTTGTAAGTCCGCAGACATACCGCTGTGCCACTGTGGGGCAATTTCAGATAGAATAAACAGTTAATGTGTTGTACCACATTAAATAATAACATTGTATACCTCAAACAACTTGCTAAAAGCATTACTTGTATACTGTAGCCTGATCAAACAATAAGTTGAATATCTATAAAATACTTGTCTAAAATGGCGTTTGTAAAAGTATTACCTCTCTTTTGGAAACATCACTGAAAATTTTCGTCTGGAAGATAGGCGTCTTTACACTTCAGTCCATCCTCTGTGTTTTTAATAAAATTGTTTCTTATAAACGGCTTAAGTCTCGCCTTCACTTGCACATTAAAGAAAATTGTTTTGGGTGTGATATGTATTATTTTTGTATTGACTGCATATTTTTGTTGAACATCTTACATGGATTATTTGTGTTATTATTGTTTATTTACTCCTCTACTAAACATTTAAGCTAATGTGTTTGGCTTGTTTTTCTAATGCATTGGACGCTGTTAATTTAATTAAAGTAAAGTTATATTATAGATTCTCGTTTATTTCAACCAATCAACAGAATTTACTAGCAACTTGGTTCTAAGCAGAAATATTAATGTTTTTCAGTCTACATATAATCCAGTGTTTTCCACTTTCTATGTTAACTACTCTTTGTTATAATTACAGCGCCTTTCAAAGTTGACCTACATCCACATGTTCTCACAGCAAACTTCGGAGACTTAGTAACTTTTGGGTGTAGCGTGTCTCCTACTACAAACACAGCAAGGACATTAATTTGGTTTAAAGACGGGCACCCCCTATCGGCAAACACAAGAATTATGATATTAGACAAAGGAATCTTAAATATTCATTCGGTACAACGAGAAGATAAGGGAATGTATCAGTGTATGGTAACGTCAGACAGAGTTTCAAGTCAGGACACAGCAGAACTAGTTGTCAGAGGTGAGACCAGCCATCGTTTCTCATGAAGACAATTCAAAGTTTAATTATCAATGGACGACATTGATAAATACACTCTCCACTAGTAATGAGTAAAATAGCTAGTATAGATTATTTAGACAAATAGGCTAATTTTAATAAAATACTGGATCGGATTTTTTTGTCAAACAAATAATTTAAAATTTATCATCTATAAGTAAAAGTAAACATAACGGTAATAATATCTTACAAATATTATAGGTTAACCAATGATAACAATGGGTATTATTATTATTCTTTCCCCCCCAAAAAACCATCATATTTTCTGACAAAATATCAGAGTATATAACCAAAATAAACCTAGCGTGTCTCAGTAACATGAGCAAATCCGAACTTAGCGTAAGTATTTTATACAAAATATTATACATAGTGACTTATGATCAACTTGTTATCGAATTAATTTTCAATAAAGCTCTGTACATAAACTGAGGATTAGTTCCCCCTGGAAATCAGTGGATTTATTTCTTGAAAGTTTCGTGCAGGTAATGGAAAGAAAAGTTGATCATATTTTATGATATTTGAGAACTTGCCGCATGTTGAAGCTACTTTAATGTAATGGAAGACTGAACTTTTATAAACCATGGCGTAATGTTATATCTTTTTATCGACTCTCTCCATCAGCTCTACACAAAAAAAAAAACAAAAACAATTACAAGGATAAGAAGCAAACGTTGACATTTTCTCCACCTAACTTTTGTGTGCTTTGACGTGTTATGGCATTAACATTTTTTGCATACATTATTTTCAGAACAACACCCTAGATTTCATTTTACTTTTGAATCTACTGTTGTCCAACCCGGTTCAACTATCTCAATGAAATGTTCTGCTTCCGGTATTCCACTTCCACAAATTACGTGGACAAGAGATGGCGTTATGGTACCGGAAGTATATTTGACCAGAATTGGAGACTACGTCAGCAACAGGAACACAGTTAATAGCTACGTCAACATAAGCTCTGTAAGCGGTTCGGACGGGGGGATTTATTCGTGCACTGCGGAAAACATAGTTGGTAGAGTTACTTATTCAGCAAGATTAGACGTTTATGGACCACCATACATTCGACCAATGGACAACATAACAGTTTTGGCTGGGAGGTCAGCTACTGTGCAATGTCCTTTTAGTGGTTTTCCTCTGAAAGAAGTTTTTTGGGAAAAAGGTAATAACACAAGTTATACTCCTGTTGTCGGAAATATCATATCTTCTTTATCGTTTTAAAAACAAAATGATGCTATAATCTGGAATTACAACTTCTAAATGGAAGAATAGAGTCAGTATAAACTGAGATTAAGTTTTTTAAAGATCATATGTTCTTTTTTTTTTAAATCGCATTAAGATAATTGAAAAAGACAAAAATGCTATTAAGGTCTAGTAACATCTATGTTTGCCAATAGGCTTGTATTGCAGATAGTAGTCACCTAAAATAATAAGGGAATGTGAATTTGTTCGTTTGGTTTATAAGATGCATGCGTATTAGTTTATCATTATTTAACTTTCCCAAGAAGTAATTAATAAATAAATAAAGTAAATTAAATTATTTTATTAGAAGTCACAGCTTTTACAGTGAGGAAAATTATATTTTAGAACAGGTACGACGTTTCGATTACTGATGTTCTAAAATAATAATCTTCCTTAGTGTAAAAACTGTAACATCTAATAAATCAGTATTTATTCAGTAAGTAAACTCAAAACGAAACTATTGTTGTTTTTCTTCTTCATCGGGATTCGGACCATGTTTTGGACCAGGGAGGGTCAGGTTCAACGTAGACCTCTCTGGAATTGTTATTTTATTTGCACTGTTACTGAATCCTAGGTAATAACCCTTGTTACATTGTTGCATTACTCACAGTATGTTAAATTTTGTCCATTGTCTGCAGTTTTAATTAACATACCCTTTTTCGTGAATTGGACATGGGTAATATTAACTTGTATATTTTCACCAGCTTCACTTATGTTTGATCGCACTATCAGTCCGTATTCCACTTACCAGTCATACACACACACACACAAACACACGGAATCCTATTTTTACATACAAAACCATTGTAAAACAGAGCTACGTTTGTGTCTGGGATTCAGTTAGCCTAGCACTGTTTGGCGTTTAAGAGTCTTATTTATGATGTTTAGAGGGGAGAGGTACTTACATGCACCCCCAGTAGCACAGCGGTATGTCTGTGGACTTAGAACGCTAGAATCCGGGTTTCAATACCCGTGGTGGGCAGAGCACAGATAGCCCATTGTGTAGCTTTGTGCTTCATCACAAACAAGTAAACATGGTACTTACATCATGTATTATGTAACTCTCTGGTTTGCTCATCAGTTTATTTTTATTAATATTTTACTTATAATATTGAAGCGAGCTATTCAAGAGTCTGTCTGATAGAGTTGGCATGTTTGAGAAACTATTATATGTTGTTGTTTTTTTAATTTCGCGTAAAGTTACACGGGGG